AACGATCCGATCGGTGAGATGTTCCCGTTTTCATGCTGTTGGCCATAAGTATTACAACGCTTGCTCGCATTTTGCATGACTCGAGTAGTTTTCCCCACTGTTTTTTATTTCATTCGCGTTATATAATGCGAAATATCAAACAAGGTAAAGTTTAATTCGCGATTCTCAACCTAGCCGGCTTGGATTCACAATCTTAAAAATTAATCGCCTCGTATTTACATTTGCAAGAAATAAAATTAACTTGACTTTAGTTTGCCTACGATAATTTACTACTACTATAATTACTACATTCATTTATTGGACTACGGATGTTTGTGTAAAATTCTAATTTGATGCACGCAATAAAAAAAAAAAAAAAAAATGAAACTTGAAAGAGATTTGTTTCACATCTCAAATACTTTCACGAGTATTTTACGTATTTTCTTTCAGCGAGTGTTACGTGCGTATTCTGCGTGTATCCTCGCACATTTCGGATTTTCTTATAAATGCACAAACGTCCGCCGTTTGATAATTGTAAAAGAAATGCAATTCAAGCAGAGATTCATTTGATGTTTCAACCATTGTAACCAGTACTTCGTGTACTTATTTTTGCACAATTTCTCACGCACGCACAGTTAATTTAACAATTATCAGACTGCAGACTTCCATGCACTTTCAAATCTCTATAAATATAACCAAACAAATGCAGTCTAAGTGGAAATTTGCTTCGTCCACTAAACATTGCGACAAACACTTCACTCTGAGTATTTCACGAATTTCTGCACTTCCGTATGTCGTATTTTTGCACCTTCAAAAATATTTTCATAGATCTAGTAATGTTGATTTCATCAATTTCTCCGTTTCCCTCTAGTAATAATAAAACGACAATTCTTCTGGCGACAAATTCCGCTTTTAACCCGGTTAAAAATGTTTGACAAACGTAACGAGCGGGTGTCCCAATACTTATAGTCAGCCGCGCGTGTCATAAAGCACACCCGTGTCTACGAAAGGGTTGCTTCGCCACTGACAAGTAGAGAAAGTAGTGTCGTTCGATCTCGTTGTTCGCCGATCGAACAACCACGAAACAGAACAGAAGTGCTCTCTTCCAGCAGCGAGAATGGATAAACCTCGTGTCCCGAGGAATACTTCCTCTCGCAACTGTAAGAGAAAACGTTCCGTTTACTCGCCGATCGCTCGACGGTAGTGAAAAAAGTCGAGGAGGACTCGCGGCGAGGGAAAATAGCAACGAAGTGTTTCCCTCGCGACCACGAAGCCGCGGCGAATTGCTTTCTCCTACGTTGGTTTTCTTCTTTCCTCAGCGATCTTCGTTCCGATCTTCGTGCCGACTTTATTTATAATTATCTAAAGTGGCTAAACTGTGTCAATATGTTCTTTTTCAGCGAGTTCATTCATTGCTTTTTCCCCTCTGTACGGTTTGCTTTGTGATTTGCGCGTCTCCGTTTAGACAAGTCACGTAGAAGTTGTTTGATGCGAGCGTGAGTGACCTTCGTTCGAAATTTCTGCGTTTCATTTTCTCTCTTTTCGTCGTATCGTTGGCGTCGAAGTCGCGTCGAGTTATTTTCGTTTTCTCCTCGCAATGAAAACAACTTCTTCGTACTTTCGTATCGACAGTTAAATTTAATTCGACATACTGTATAAATGTAGCTCAAGAGAAGTTTTATTACAAAGTTACAGCAGGTAGGTTGTATTCGCTAAGTCGTGATACAGTTTCGTTCGATATCATGCGAGAAACAATTTCTATGTACACATATTAAGACAAGTTTCGTTTTCATATTTCCGAGAAAGAAGTGAAAGAAAAATCAGTTTCCCCAACGCAGATCGGCCCGAAATTCTTCTTCCCTTGCTGGCAGTGATATAATTCCCGTGCAGAAAATTGCACCTGCGTGTACAAAAACACTGTACACACTGTTTCATCTCTACGAAAGTGATGATAAATTTTTTTAACGATAGTCTCCAAGATTCTGGCGCGAATCGATAATTACGCTCCTCTCGTTTTTCTCAACAAACATGTTGACACAATTCGAGCAACACTGCAACTTCGAAGTTCCACAGAGAAACTAGAGTGTCAAATTTTCCAAGCATTTATTCTCTCTCTCTCTGCCTCTCTCTCGTCTTTGCTGGCAGTGATACAGATCCTCACACGTGCACATCAGAATCGCGCTCATGACCAAATATATAAATATAAAAACAAGCATTTGACAATAGAAACGTTCCGCTTAAAATCACAAACGAGCAACAACTAAAAGCTATCGTTCGCGAGTCAAGTCGCAGGAAAGAAGAAAACTGAACTTGATTCGCGCGCGCGTAAAAAGAAAAGAAGCGAGCGAATCGTTCAGCGAACGACGAACAACTTTCGAACGTGGTGTCTCTTCTCTCTTTTCTCTTAACCGGTGTGCGCTGCTCCTTTCTCTCTCTTTCTTACTCTCTCTTTCTCTCCAGCTTTCTCATCGACTTTTCCTCCGCCATTCTCTCTCTCTCTCTCTCTCTCTTTCTCTCTTTCATTTTCTCCTCTCATCTCTATTCTCCCCATTCGCGTCACATCGCGTCTCCTTCGTCTAAAAATCGTTCAGGCAGAAGAAAAAACAAAGCGTTAAGAATGAATAAAAAGTCATCGTTAGAGACATCGACACAGCCAAATCTTTGTTTAAACGTCTCTGTTAACCCCCCTCCCAACCCCATCCCCCGTGTTTGCTCCGATACGGTCGTACCCAAACCTTCAAAACCATCCCCCCCCCTCCCCTCCCCGAATCGATCCCCTTAAATCCTACTTTTATTGGGAAGCAACTCGTTCTCATCGTTCCTACGCGTCTCTTCGTTCATTCGAACCCACTTGAACACTTGGTGGATATATTGCATTGTGCGTGCACCGGACGAATCCCGTCGCGCGGCCTTCACAAAGTCGAGGATCGTTCGGCAGGCACCTGTTTCCTCCCCCCTCTCCGCTTCGATTTCTTTTTCCCACCCTTTTCACTGTTTAATCCTGGATGTAGACAGCCAGACAGTCTAGGTAGTCAGTTTTTCTTTTTTTTCTTTTCTTTCTACTTATTTTTTTTTTATATACTTTTTTTTAGCAAGTTCTTTGGATATTCTTGAAAAACGAGAGACAAGTTTCTCCCCAGAGTCTGCAAGAAAAGAGTTAACCCGTTTTCCAATGCTCCAGTTAACTCGTCGTCTCGTCGATCAAAGGACAAAGCGCGTGTAAATATACATATAAATCGATGTCGAAGCAACGAATTTACCTTAGGTGTCCGTTTAAACTCTCCTCTAGAGGATCACTTTCTTCGGGCACTTTTTAAAATTTCTACAAGACATTTCCAATAATAGGAGCTTCGAAGTTCTTTGTACACTTGTCAGGCAACCTTGGAGAATCTTGGTTGTCCACACGAGGGATATTTCAGTTTCTTCCTCTCAGAATTTCGCAGCTAGGTACATTAGTTGTTCGGATAGTTGTCGAAGGCTTCTAGAGATTTCTCGAGAGATGATCGAGAGGGGACGAACGAGGATTGCCTGGCCGTAACGAGGATATGCAAGAGATCGTGGACGCGCGATGACTGCCGAAATTCGTTCTAGGCTTTGCCTTGTTTTAACGCGAGGGCTAATAAAACGATCACGCGGACCGGTCCACCGTGTAAATCGCCGGCGAGTCGTCCGGTTCGTCGCACAGAATCGAAACGCAACTCGTTTCGGCCGACTAAAAGACACGTCGACAGCGTTCATCTCGATCGATCCTCGCCGATCCACGCCAGCCATGATCAACCTAATCTATTTAACTGCTTACTAATAACGAACACTGGCTCTCCGTGACTCTTGTACGTTACGCGTATGTTACACTTATATGTATTATATGAGTGTGTGTATGTATGTGCTCGACAGCTTTGCACCGGCGAGCTGTACGAATGTGTCTGATTCTCAGATGGTGGAAAAAAAAACAGATTTTCATTCTCGACTAACGGCTAACTTTTCCATCTCCGCGTTACGCGTCACGACTCTTTACGACTGCGCCAACTTCCTTTCCCTTCTCACTCGAGCGTGCTCGAAACTTTCGCGAGTGATGCAGAACTGACGTTCGATCTCACCGAATAGAAACGTATTTGTGGTAATCGCTTGGTATTCGTCTGTGTGTTTCTGTGGTGTCCCTTTCTGTCTGTCGTCCCACTTCTGTCGGCATAAAGAATGTACAAGAATTGGAAAAAAAAAAAAAGAAGAAGAAGAAGAAGAAGAGAAAAGAAAAAACGTCACGTGCCACTTGGTTCAGTCCGCGGTTTCTTCTTCGCATATACATAACGATAATAATAATTAGAATAATGATAGAAAGTAATAATATTAATCGTTAGAATAGTTATAATAAAAATAATATTAATAATAATAATAATAATAATAATGATAATAATAATTATAATATATATATATATATATATAAGATTTTTGTAAATATATATATAGATGTATGTATATATATATATTTTTTTTTATATACACAAGGTAGCCCTAACGAATTTGTTACACCGCTCGTGTTGAATTGCTCGTGTTTCATTTGAATCCCCGTAACTTGTCGGGCTTCTTAGAAAAACATCACATAGATTACATCAGAGACCAACAAACGTTCTAAGATCGACTTAGAGTCCCGGAATCTCCCGTAGCCAGCCCATAACCCATTTCACGAATCTTCTTCCTATCAGTCGTACTATATAACATCGCGTCTCGGGCATTTTCTTTGCTTTTTTCTTCTTTTCCTTTTTTTCCTTTTTTTTTTTTTTTTTTTTTTTTTTTTTNTTTTTTTTTTTTTTTTTTTTTTTTACCCGAATTATTATCCATCACGTTAACCCGACGTAAACGTAACGTAAACAATTAACTGTCATAAACCTCTTTCTGTTCCTGCCCTTCCCCCCCCTTTCTTCCCCCCATTCCCCTTCTCTCTTCACTTTTATGCAAATCGTTCCATTCACAAACTGTTCCAAAAATTCTGTTACTCACTCTCGCTCTTTGCACATGTATTTCTCTCTCTCTCTCTCTCTCTCTCTCTTTCATTCTCTTCTTGCTTTCCTCTTTCCACAAATCGACCAAAATTGGCAGCCTATATTTATGTATACGCGTGTAACGTATATGAACGGTCGATTTTCTCGCTCGATATATCCCGTAAAAACGCAGGGGCTCCGACAATTAAAAGTACTAAGTGGTAGAGATGCAGTTTTTATCGTAAATTAGCAGCAACTTGTCCACCTTACCAGCTAGGGGGTGAATATCAATCGTCTTAGTGGCGATAGATTGTTCCAGCGGTAGTAAAAATGTAGAAAGTAAAACGTGGATTGATCGCTAAGAACGATTTAAAAAAAGGTTCCTCATCTCCCCTTTCCTTTGTCTTCTTCTTTCTTCTTTCTTCTTCCTCTCCCTCGTCGCCACTCCCAAGCCTAAGTCTGTCCTCCTCTTCTTCGCATCGAGTGAACCCTCGACACGAAGTGCGGGTGGAGTATCATTCTCTTGGCAGTTTGCTTTCGCTGATTTCTCCTCTTTCTCTCCCTTCTACGTGCAAGAAATGACGATGCTTCGTCGCACGTATCCCCGTGTACGTGTGTCACCCGTGTACGTGTGTCTGTTCCGCATCGATTCCTTCCGAGTAACAAGAAAAAAGAAAGAAGAAAGAAAAAGAAAAAGGAAAAGGAAACGCGCTCTCACGCTGTGTTCCCATTCACACGCTCGTCCCATCCGCTCTTGCGCAAACTTTCGCAAACTTTTTCATAAAGTAAAGACACAACCACGTGCAAACACGCTCCTCGTCCCTACCGTTATACCCCTGTTTCCGCAAGAAATTAAAACAAGAGAGTTCCCTCCCCATTCTTTCTCGTGTTCATCCACCCTCTCTCATGCTACTCCTCCTTGCTCCACGTGATAGCGTGATATATGTATGTATATCTATCTATCTATCTATCTATCTATCTATCTATCTATCTATCTATCTATCTATCTATCTATCTATCTATATATATATATATGTATATATATAAAGTCTCTACGTGTACAATCTTATGTATAGTCTTCGCCAAGATTCTCTCGATCACGCGTTCTGTCTCGTCGCCGGCCGCCAGCGGAAACCTCCGACTAATTCCATTTGTTTCTTCATCGATCTCCCCTCGTTTCCGTTCTGGATTTTCGTCTCACTCCTTCTCGTATCAACCCCTCGTTTCGCTTAGGTCGCTGGTTTTTTTCCCTGTCTATCCTGAGGTATTCTATTCTGCGTGAGATGCACAATCGTGTATCATTGTTCAATTAATAAAAATAGTCGTAGCTAATCGTTCGGTTAATTAAAATAGCGGCATCGAGCGGCTTTGGCACGTGGTCTTGAAAAGAGAAACGACCCGGAAAGAATTGACAGCAGCCCTCGCCCTTCTTTGAACATTTGTCACGCTTCTATCAGAAAGATGGATTCTCCGTTCCAATTCCAATCATCCCCCCCGCGACTCGATCCGACTCGACTCGATCTGCTTTGGAATCTACTCTTCCTTGGGAACGCGATCACGAAACTCGTTATCGAGAAAACGAGTGCCTGCGCCAATTCGAGGATTATTATCTTTTCACCACCACGTCCAAGCATCCGTGCTTGTCGTCGTTTCGAGACGATCGAGGAGGGCATCCTGGAAAAATAAACTTTCGCGCGCGCCGGTTGTCTTTCGGTTGTCCGGTGTTTCGCGAGCTACTCTGTTCGCTTTTGCCCTTTTGGCGAAACGAAGGGTCAAAGGGAAGCTCGACGACGATGCGAACGACTCGATTTTTAACAACGACGACGAGGACGACGTTCCCGTTAGCGTGACGATATCCATCGATCGCGGCTGTGGATCCAACGTTCGTGGATGAGGCGGCAGTGGAAAGGCGGTTCCCTCATCGTTCGCCGTTTCACTTGGGCACGCGATAGTAGCGCAACACCAGGTAGCCCAGGGTGCGGAATATCACGAGGAACGCCAGGAGGACGGCCGTGTTCGCCCACAGTGGAAGACCGGAACCCCTGGCGCCGCCTTGGCTCTCTAGAATCGCCGACACCGGTATCGTCGTCGCGTTTCTGCACTCCTGGAACTTGCTCGGTTGCGAGCATCTGGAAAATCAAGCAACGTTGCTCTTTGAGCCTTCGGTAATACAATCAGAACTACTTACAACCAACGTGGTCAAAATGACCGGTTTACAATTTTTGTTACAAATTTTGTACCCATAAAGTGGCCAAAACGACCAATTTTCGTTGCAAATTCGTAAAGAAATTTATAGAACTACCCATAAAGTGGCCAAAACGACCAATTTTCGTTGCAAATTCGTAAAGAAATTTATAGAACTACTTATAAAGTGGTGAAAATTTTTTAGAGTAACTGTTAGAGGGTTTACAATGTTGCAGAGATTCGAATGATTGAACAAAAGTTCGTATTACAAACCTTTTCCTATTCGTTACATTTTCTAATTTGACTCGATTTTTATACTTTAGTCCAACGTGGATAGAATAACCATTTTACAATTTTTGTTATAAATTTGTACAAAAATTTATAGAACTACCCATAAAGTGGTCAAAACGACCAATTTTCGTTGCAAATTCGTAAAGAAATTTATAGAACTACTAATAAAGTTTAGAGTAACTTTTAGAGTGCTTACAATGTTGCAGAGATTCGAATGATTGAGCAAAAGTTCATATTACAAACCTTTTTTTTATTCGTTACATTTTCTAATTTGACTCGATTTTTATACTTTAGTCCAACGTGGTCAGAATAAACAATTTACAATTTTCGTTACAAAGTTGTAAAGAAATTTATAAAACTACTTATAAAGTTTAGAGTAACTTTTAGAGTGCTCACAATGTTGCAGACAATCGAATGATTGAGCAAAAGTTCATATTACAAACCTTTTTTTTATTCGTTACATTTTCTAATTTGACTCGATTTTTGATTACTTTAGTCCAACGTGATCAGAATGACCAATTTACAATTTGCGTTACAAATTTGTAAAGAAATTTATAAAATTTAGAGTAACTTTTAGAGTGCTTACAATGTTGCAGAGATTCGAATGATTGAACAAAAGTTCGTATTACAAACACTTTCTTATTCGTTACATTTTCTAATTTTTATACTTTATTTAATTTTTATACTCGATTTTTATACTTTAGTCCTCGGTAGTTCCAGTATTGAAACAATATGTTTTTCGTAATGAGATTTGTAAAACATATAAATAGAAACTCGTACTCTGTTGCGTTACAAAATTTTTCTGTTTCTTTTGCTTTAATATCTCTGATTGTGCTTCAGTCGTTGGTAGTTCTAGTGTGTTAAGCGTTCCTTTCATCCAGATGTTTTATCTGTGGATTTATTGGGAATTCAAGTTGCGAATAGTTTCGTTAGTCTGTGTGCAATGCGAGAACATAGTTTGAAGGCTCGAGATTTGTTTCGTAAATTCAATGTATAACATACAAGTATAATGTTTGTTCGAAATTTCACAGAAACCTGTGTTTAATCATACTGCTACCTCGATCTTAGTACTGTAATATACGAACTTTATTTTCGTATGACATACAGTTGTGATACAGTTATGATTAAATACACAGGTGACGAAAACAACATTTCCTGACTTTTATTAGAGAGAGAGAGAGAGAATCTTCAATCAATATCGCATAGATTCTGTTCAGCTTTGAGTTTAATTTATTCAATATACGCGTTTTTAGATGGAAACTGAAGCGAACGATATCAAATTGACAAATAACGAAAGACAAAGAATAACGTCAGCGTTAAACAATCAAATCACGTATAACTTTAATGTACTTCTTAATAATACTATCACGCGCATTAGGGTCGTAACAAAAATCGATATTTTCATTCTCAGCTCGTACAATATAAATTACTCATCGTCGTTATGTCGTTTTCTCGTCTCTCAATCTCTAGTCGTTTCCAGGCTCGGCAATTTCGCGAGAGAGTGAAGAGATCACTTTCGACTAATTCGATTAACGTACTCGTTGTCACGTGTGTCGTTGAAAAACCAAATATGACATCGATCCGAGTCACATCGTGTGACGTACGAAACGATTAGACTTCGCAGACTGAATCTTGCATTGGGCCGTGTCGCGGCTGAGGCTCGCTTATCATTTATCACGCGATCTTTCTTTAATTTCATTAATTCCGCTTCGCTGGAGAGAACAGGTACGAGGGAATCGATTTTTCTCGGTCTGGTTCTTCTCATTTAGTGTCTTGAGTTGTCTGATTAATTTCAGTCGTGGATCCATCAGCGACGGAAACAGTCAGAATTTCGACGAGAAATTCATAAACGTACGAGACTGGCAAAGTGAAAGGTGACACGTGAAAATTTTTGAATCCGTAAATGACGAAATTCACACCGAAGTGGAGTTGCGAAGTCGATTATTTTGGGATGCTTCTAGAATTTCTTAGGAGAAAACTGTGTGATTTCGCGAACGAAATGCAGAATTTACGCCATCATTATTTTATGAGCGAAGCTTCACTCAAAAGAAAGAGTTTGTCCCATAATTTCGATCTACTTCTTCAAAGAAGAAATTTGATTGTATCGCGTGGTTGAAAATTGTTACTTACGTGATTGGCTCGCCGACACCGAATTCCAGGATCTGCATATTCTGATAGGCATAATGCACCATGCTCGCATATCTAGCCCATGCCAACCACGGTGGTACCGCCGTTGCCAAATAACCTCCAAGTAGCTGTGTCGCGAGCGTGTAAAGCGCGGATGCAGTTATGCTAACCTGGAGGTCTAGACAGCACGCTCCAACGAAGAATCCGACGCTCTGAAATCAGGGAACGTGGTAGCATTTCAAATTACCGTAACAGCGAGAGAAATTTTCTTAATTGCGACTTAAGGCTAGAACTACCAACGATATTAAAGTGTAAAATTTCCATCGAAAGTCAACTGAAGTAAAAAAAAAAAAAAAATAAAGAAACTTTATAATACAATGAAGTATTTTATTTATTTTATGAAAAATCATTTAGTACGCTGTTACGTCTATAAAATATTACAAATTGGTCATTTTGATCAATGGTAGTTCTAGCGTTAACAAAGGCGAAAGATTAGGTTTGTAGGATTTGAACAACTGGCTTGGATAAATTAACTCGACAAAATGGAAGATTACGTTTACACGTAGAAATTTGACTTTAAAACACGACTTTGATACGATTTTTTTAATTTTTAACAAAAAGTGGAAGATAAATTTTTAAAAACTTTAATACCTTATATAATACAAGCGATAGATTAGGTTCGTGAAACTGATATCTAATATCCATTGGTCACCAAATGTGATTTCCCGTTTTTTTGAATTCTGCGACTTAACTTAAGCAAAGTGAGTGAAATTTAAGTTGAGTTCAAGTGGATTACAAATTGAATGAAATTTCCATTCGGCGAGAAGCATCATAGAAGAGCGCACAAACATCTGGCGACAGTTTAGTATAATAAAGTGTCGTTTAATCGATTAGCTGTTGAAAATCGATTCGTTCGCGACATTACATGTTGCGAAATACGCGCGAGTTACTCATTTCCGTCAATGGGTAGGTGGTTTCGAAAGTAAATCGCGGCCACCTTTCATGCTACAATGACTTAGTATTGACCGTAGGTGGACAGTCGAGGGCCTTCGAAGGGAGAACGGAGTTAAGGGGGGCAAAAGAACAGGAAACCGCGAAATTCTTACTGTTTGTACGTGTTCCCATGGCTAAAGAAATTCGTGCTGATTGCAACATACACACCGTTCCACCATTTCTGTTCTATTATTGCGCGAAACTAATCGGAATTTCAATTTTCGTGCGAAATATTTTTCCTTTCCCTCTTTTCTTTCCTTCATCTTTTTTTCTTGTTCGTTCGAGAGAAAAATAAGCAAAGGATGAAAAGATTTGAAACCTATATTGTTACTTGCGTTTGTTTATGAGAAAAGAAATTTCAACTCCTCGACTGTATGTATAAAATAAATTTAAAAAACACAGACATCGGAGGTACATTACTTTATCAAGAGGACTGTAGTTTAATAAAAAGGAGTTTTATTCTGTTTCAAGTAGAATCGGTGTACGATAGTACAGAAAGTAGAACAAGGTGATATATTAAGTAGAATAGGAATATGTGACACGTTTCGAACAGTTCGTTTGTTTTGTTAATAGATGCACAGCTGTGACTTCGATATAACATTACAAACTAATGGTACAGTGTTAAGTTTTCAAATTCCCCTTTGACTATGCATTTTCCTTGCAAATCACCTCAACGCCCGTGCAATTCCATTTTCCATTAAACCAACTCAGAGTCAATCGTACCGAAACCTGCGTACAAACGGGGTAAAAAAATGGGTTAAAGTGAACCGTGAGATGCGCGGGAACCTGCGCACTATCACGTTAAATTAAAAAGAGAAAAGAAAACGGGGGAAAGAAAGGGCAGACGTCCTTGGATTTTTATCTCACTGATTCGATGCGTCTCGAACGTTGAAGGCAAATGTCTGATTAAGTGAAAACGAGGGAAGTGAGAAGAAAAGGAAAGAGATGTCGTACCTGCGCGACGATGGTGTTGAGTAAGAGGAACGCCAGCAGGGTGACGAAAACTGCCGGACTGTGGAAGCCCAACATCGGGTAACTAATGATATGGTAGACGGCGGGCAGCGTAATCGTAAGCGGCAGCTCGCCGACCATTTTCGCCAAGTAATAGGCCGAGAGCCGATACGATCCTGACAGTCGCTCCTTGTTGATCACCTCGCGTTCCGGAGGAACTGAAACAGAATTTCATCTCTCGTCAATTCACTCGTATTTATATGAGAATATATTATGTAATTTGACAATTCAAAACACAGAGGCTAATACTGAGTTTATATCAGTGGTGCCGAACTTTGTTTTGGCCCACTCAAGAATCTCTAAAGTCCTGACATTTAATTCTTATTATTGAAAAAGTGAATTTCTGACGTGATGCGAAGCCTGAAAGGTCGCATTAATTTCAAGGTCTAAACTAGCTTCTAAAGAAACATGACAGAAACAAATTGAAAAGCTTTCAAATTTTCATTTGAAAAAGTCCAAAAGATTCTCAAAGCAGAAAGAAAAAAGAAGAAAAAAATAGCAAAGTTTCTTCTCTTTCATTTTTACAGTCCACAAACAGTCCATTAAACATTGATCTTTTCTCGCCAGACAACACACTCAACCCAAGAAAACACTCGACTCTCCGCCAAGATCAAATAGATACTAAAAGAAGTTTAGCAAACTTGCTGTCAAATAATTTTAACTTCACCAACTTTCCTGCGTATACTGTCCAGCAATACCTTTCCAATATTTTTCACTTTTCCACTTACTCGATGGGTTTTCCCATCGTTGAAGGATCATTTCTCTAAGTTCTCAGTTGTAATGAAAACTTTCTTATCTTTTACTATCTTTTGTTAGGAAAATACAGTTTTAAGTATGTAATAAAATATTCTTGCATGTTTCTTTCTCCGAGAAAAGGAACAGATTTTAATATGTAATAAAAATTGAAGAAAAATGGCGTGTATAAGCGAAATTATTCCGAATGAACGCATTAAATTGGTCAATTAATGCTTCTACGTGACTTTGCAAAAGTTTGCCACTACGAACGTGAAACGTAAAATCTGGCAAAAGGATTAGGTTACGTATGTACAATACTTTTCCTAAACAGTGTATATTTAATTGTAAAGATCCATCGAATTGCGATTAATCTCAGAAAGTCAAAACCTTCTCAGTCTTCTTTTCGCTGGAAAATAGCGTCATCGCAGACGATTGGTACTCCTCCTCCGCGTTTGAAATTCGTCGCGGTCGTTCCGAGCTTTGGATCCGAAGTACGTGCGACAAAAGGGCCTCAATTGCCTCGGCTGATGGTAAGTGGGTCACGGCGCGACCTACATACTAACGTCTTTATTGGCCGTTCTTCTTTGGTCCTTTGCAAATCTTTGCAATAAAAAAAAAACGCGCCGTTCGACTGAATGGCCGATTCAGAGCGTCACGTCGTCGTCAAAGCTCAATTAACCAATCTACCTCGTATACTATGAGGCTCTCCGCGTTGTTGCGCAGCTAGCTTCGATACTGTTCTTTCGCGTACCTGAGAATTTCCTATCCGAGCTTTTCTCCCTTTCGGCAAATGTTCTGGAAATGTACTGTTTCTCAGGCTGATGGAGTGGGTGAAGTTTCTTTAGGGAGAAAACTCTTGGAGACGGGTAAGGAGGGAAATTAAGGAGTTGTTGACAGACTTGGGTCAAAAGTACCCAGGTTTGTTTGCGAGGAACCCAGGTCGAGTTAGTTAGTTAGGTTGTAACGCGTAATGAAAATTAAAGAGTTCGGTAGAGGTATTTTTCTAGGGAGTTGCACTACTGATTGATAGATTGTGTCGACAGAAATCGACGGGGGAAATTTGCCAGTGTGTATTTGTATGGAGTGATTGAGTTAGTTAGGCAGGTCTCAAAAATCAAGAGGTTGATTAGTAGATTGCGACGTGCAGTGAAAATTTAAGATCTGCTGGTCGTATATCCGTGGAGGATTGATAGAGCGTAACGTGTAATTTCACCTGAGAGGACCTTTTCCAGTCAAACAGTTTGTTGGTGTGTAGATATTTGCAAATTACTGAGGAGAATATTGGTGAGACTAATATGAGATAAAAATTACAGAATTCTTAGAAACAGATCGACACGCTTGTATAAACAACAGCGGCATAAACAACTTGGCTAGTAAATTGTAATTCATTCTTGGTTAAAACTTCATTCGAGCTTCGTTCTCAGCAGTTAATTCTCTAAGAAGTCGAGAATCTCTCTTTAAAAAGTCTTAGGAATTGCGCAAACAAACAAACAAATCGAAATGGACCGACTTTCTTAAAACCGTGGTCTATTAAAATTCTAAAATTGGAGGGACAGATATAGAAAGGGGAATGAAAGTTACTTACAACTGGAGAGTGCACCGAAGTGCGCGAAAAGCATCCAGTACGTGGTACTGAAGAACATCCAGCCTTGGATGTCGTGAAGTGCCGCCTCTGTTCTGGGAAGCCTTAGCCACAACAGTCCAGCTAGCAGGCCGAGGGCTATCGTTTGCAGCCAATTCAGACGAGACAGCATTCGTGGCCGTGCTTCTTGAAAGTTTCGTTCTGACAGTACCTGAAATCATCGATTCCACGTTACAGAAATGCTCTCGTGCACGTCTCATCTTCTTCTGCGAGGAAAAATTTGATGTAAAGGATTTTTCAACGAAATTTTCGCGTTATTTGCGAGTATTTGTACTTCATCAAAATGCATAGGAAACGCAAAAATATGTACAACATTCAAAGAAGAACATTTTTTATGATATAGAGTGGATAAAACAATTTTTATTTACGCTTCATTTCTTCATTAATTTCATATTCACGAAAATATATATAGAAGACCGTTCGCGTTAGTAGAAATTTTTAAAGTAAAAGTGTGACTGAAATGAACTTGGCGTTCAATTTTTGTTCAATTTAAAGCTTCATAATCCCTCTTTAGAACTAAATAAAATAGTCATTTATAAATAGGTATTGTACAGTATACCTGTCAAGAAGAACGCCTCTAACTAAAGTAAAATTTTTGTAAAATAAAATTATTTTTCAGTCATCCTTCCGAAACACGCATATCCAAATGAATAGAAAGACCGTGGACTTTATAAAATCAAAATTTAGTCATAATTTACCACGAAATTCGAAGTACCACAATTTCCAGAATTTCCTCAGATCAATGCAAATCACTGTTAGTTTCAAGAGTATCACGATGAATATCGTGATGGATCGTGGTAAAAATTAGAAGGTGAAGTTGGACGACTGGAGTGTAGACACACAGGTTGGTTATTAATCGATGTGCTGCTCACACAGTGTGATACGAGCACTGCCCCCGTGCGCGATAATGTCACAACGCAAGGTTGCTCCGTTACACCTCTTTGGTGCAGCTCAATTATATCAACGGCCGTGAGGAAATAGAACGCGAAAGTTTCACAATGCTGCTTTCGAAGGCCTCTTTAAATTACAAGCACAGTACGCGAGTAACTTGACCATGTGACGAGCACTAGGCTCGATATCATTAATTACTCAATTAGCAAGCGAATCAATCGATTCGAGCATTGATTCGAGCATTCTGTATATTTATTTATTGTGCACTTTAGGGAGTTACGACGGATTATTTATATTTAACTTATAAATATATTTTAAATTTTGCATTTAAATACATTCGTGAATTCGTCCTTTATACACTTTTGTTCAAAAGTCTGACTTTGATGACATTATAATATAGATGTCTAAATGATATTATAGTATTTGTACAAATGATATTTTGTACAAGGAATCTTATATCGATGTCAATGATATAAAATGTATCAACACGATAAATTAATCGACAATCAATTGTTTCAAACAGTCCTCTGTCTTTTTTATCATTTTTCTAAATTTCAACACAAAAACCTGAACCCGTAACATAAAACAACAGTAGGCCACATAATCAAAATTTTTCCAAATATCTTAAAACAATATCATTATCAAACTATAAATTTTAGTCGAAAGGATCTCAATATTCAGTGATTGAAAATAAATATCACTATCTCGAATTAGTCTCGAATTAATTATTACTCGCTACGTTGCTCATTGAGAAGGTTCTTCGCTTCGATTACTTTTCAAAAAAGAAAAACTACTTTACTCTTTCCGCTACCGGCGCGCTCTCCTTTCGACGCGTGTGAAGCGCAGCATAAACGAAAAAAAAAAGAGAGAGAGAGAAGAAAAAAAGGACGGGAGACTTTCTCCATCGTGAGTCGAGCTGAAAACTCAAGCCGCGCGAAGAATAGTTGAATCGGGTAAAAGTGATGCAAGTGACGAGATGCGTTCGCACAAAGCATGCCACACAACCGAACCGACATACCGGTCGCGGTAATTATCCGGATATGGTGAATCGCGTAAACGCGACCTAGTTCTCTTTTCTGCGCTGCTGCTCGATCCTCTTTAACGATCCGACTCTCTTTCTTTTATCATCGTCTCTCCTTGAAATCATCGAGCAATTCGCGACATCCACCGAGAAATTTCGCCGTGGAATTTCTTCGGGGCGAGTGGATCTTCTTCTTCACTTCTCTCGTCACTTTGACGGAAAGATGTAATTTCAGGTTCTCGATTTTTCAGAGCGTCTCTTTGACCGTTCGGACGGGGTTTCGAGAAATTTCGCGGAAGATGAAAATTTCTTCTGGCTGAATGAATTTCTTTTTGATTGTGCAATATGGTTGGTGAAAGGAACGTGAACAAAATGAGAGATCATTGATTTAGGAGGATTTTATGTTCATTCCTTTTTGCTATTGAGAAGTTATTGTTGTTACTGTTAAAGCTTCGATTGTTTATTTTTGTAAGGACAAATTTTTTTTTTTAGAAACTATTGTTGTTATTATTAAAGCTTCGATTGGCTTTTTTTTTGTAAGGAACAGACGTGCTTTGATTAACATTTAGTCCCAGAAAAGAAAAATTCTTCATTTATATTTTGCCAATTTTATTTTGCGACAGTATTTATTTTCAATCACTGAATATTGAGATTCTTTCGACTAAAATTTATAGTTTGATAATGATACTGTTTTAAGATATTTGGAAAAATTTTGATTATGTGGCCTACTGGTCTTCTTCATTTATTTCGATTTGAAAATATTTCACTGGCCCTCTCAAGAAACGGAAATTATAAGTTTCTTTTACAAAGAAACATAATTTGCCATCTCGTCTGAACAGAATCTACAAAAGTTCTATTCGACGAAATGGAATCATCAATAAAATATGACGATCGTTTGTTTCACTTTTCGAAACAATCTTTGTTTTTTTTTTTTATCTGAAACCTGTTTCGAAACATGCACTTCTCTTTCAAACGCGTATCACGATTTACGATAACTGCGGTATATTTTAAGCTCTTTTAATTAACTTTCGATATTTTGCCATTCAATTCCTAACCAGTTTTGGAAACGACTCGGGGAGGCGTAACTCAACGCATTCGTCATTCATTATTTTCCTTTTCATCAAGTTTCCAATTCCAATTTCTCGTACTGGAAGCAACAACGTCAATATTTTTTTTTTTTTTTTTATATAGGAATTTAAAGTCGCATCGACATCTTTAGCGACGTGCTGGAATTTTCTCTTTATATCTGGTCTAGTAGTTTGGTCTCCTTTAGATAGCTGATAATGTTTTTCTGTTGTTTCTGGCAGGTTAGAGCAGTGTTTTGGTTTAATCCGTATTTACTTCTTAGGTTTCAGTATTTTCTGCATTCATGTAGCAGGTGTTGGCTAGTGATTTGATAGGTTGCAGGTGTTGCAGAAAGGTGGTTCTGTTTTGTTTAGTAGGTATTCGTGTGTGATCTTGGAGTGTTCGACTCGAAGTATAGTCATAGCTATCCTTTCTTTTCTGCTTATATTGTTGTTTGGTATTTTTTGATAGAAATGGTGTGCTATGTCGTGTATTTTGGTTTTATTTGTCGTAGTCTAAATTATGTTCCATTCTTCTCTTTCCACTTTGGTCGTTGAAGCTAGTAGGCCTTGATCCTTCTGTTCCTTAGTGTGACAGGATCCAGGTGATTATTATTTGTTTATGGTCGAACAACGTCGATTATTTTAAACTAAGTTTAAGCTCTCGGAGAAATCAATAACATATACAATATTGTATTGGAACAAACATTTTTCGAGCCATTTTTCCTATTTTCACGTTACACTCTAATTTCCCTGGCGCAAAGTAGCTGCAGCATTAAAGAACCGAATGTAATGACGAGAGTGTTATCTAGAGCCTGTCTCGGTGAATGGCGATACAAATTGAACAGCTCGCGTTAAGCTCGAATCCTAATGTCATTTTCATTTTCCTCCCCATTATCTCTCTTTCTCTCTTTCTCATTCACATACCAGACGAAACTCGTCTAAATTTTCACATTGCTGTTGTTGCATGCTCTATTAAGCGCGCAATGCAATCGAACTTTTTGATCTCTCCTTCGGACGACGACAGCCACCGGGTTCTCTCTCTCAACGTTGGCTGGCCGTTGTTGAGGCCAATTCGAGCCGTGTCGTTGCGTTTCCGAGGAAATCAACGCCATCGCCCTACTTAATTTCCAACGGCTGGTCGCTCGCTTCGCGGAATGTCGCCGACCATTTTTCATTTCACCAAGCAAATTTCTCGATTGATCTTTATCGCCGTTCATTTCGACGAACTTCATTTTGGAACTTCGTTCCTTCTATCAGAACGTTGATCTCCTGATTTTGTTTCCCTTCTCTCCGTACTTTACGTCTTTCTTGATGTCTCTTCATCGAGACTTGTATAAACAATCATATTTATTTGCAATTTTTGACTCTGTGACTAACTGAAAAAGTTCTACATACGTAATTATTAATTGTTACTTATCCTAGATATAAAAGATTCTTTCATACCACGTAGATGACAGAGCTTTATTTCGCGACGAAAATTCCACCGTTTCTGCTCCTTTCACTTCTCTCCTTTCCACTGGTTTTCGTTATTAAATCTATCTGACAATTTAATTTCAATCGTTCGAATTCAATTGTTAGAACTCTCTTTTTGATGAAATGGAGGCTCTTTCCGTTTTGAACGTTCGAAAGCCTGAGAAAGAGCTGAATTTTGCTGAATTTTCGAATTTTGAATAGGCGCCAGGGAGTTGAAGTCTCGCGCGGACGGAAGGGACATATTCAAGATGGCTCGGCGCAACGAGCGGCAAGGGAAGTGAAATCAGAAAGTTAACGAGAACCGGAGCATCATGCGGGACGATCTCGTGACGATTCTGTTTTCAATTGCTAAACTGACGTCACGTCTTCTCGGGAAATAACGGAACCGTGTCCGGTTCATTTCGCTGCCTAACGATACGCCTCTTTGGCCTTCTGAACCGTAAACTCCGCCATTTTGCACATTCAGTCGTCCAATCTTTGCATCCTCCTTCTCTCATTGAAAATTACTGTCTGAACAGAATCGTACGTACACCACTGCAATTACAATACATTGATGCGTTATAAAATATCTATTTGCACAATTAAAAAGTTGAGCTTTTCAACAAGGAAAATGTACCCTATGATTTTTTTTCCCTCCCTCGTTCGCAATTTCATAGATAATTAAACATTCAGTCGTTCAATCTTCGAATCTTTGATAATAATAAGTAATCTCAAAACGATCTATGCTGTTTGTAGGATTTTAATCATCTCTTTTAAACTAATGTCTTTCATTAACTATATAAAGTTCGAATATCTTAAATATTCTTAATGTCTCGAGTGATCAAGATATTCGTAGTTTCTTCACAGAGATGCTATTTTGCATCACACACATTTGATTTAGAATTCTTACACTAATTTCCCATTTTCCAATTAATTCTCAAATATCGTACTCGAAAGATGAGGATTTGACATTAACTTTCAATGAATTTTCTTCTTTCTCTTCTTTATGTTACTTTATGAATCGTTCGAAACAAAGGGACGAGTGTCTGTGTGTGTCAGACTGCACGCTGCATGAACATCGAGTGCAGTGCAGTTGCAGCGCAGTCTAACCGCTGGGAAACGTCTGCAAAATGGTACTCACTTTGAATTGTGACCAGAAACTAGTGGGCCACTGCCAGGCGTAGTCGTCGTCCGCGGAACTGGCACTGCTGCTGGCATGGCTTTGCGTGTCCAACCACAACGTACGGCCTTCGTCTTCTTTCACTGTAAATCATCGACGCGATGAAACGGGTCAGAGACTTTTGTTGAAAAAAAATTAAAAAACTTTTGTTGAAAAAAAATTAAAAAAAAAAAGTGCCACGCACGTCGAGAATCCTTCATCGCAAATATTTATTTTATTTTTGTATTTATTTAAATATTTATTAATTTATTTTAATATTTTAATATTATTTTGTATTTATTTTAATATTTATTAATTTATTTTAATATTTTAATATTATTTTGTATTTATTTTAATATTTATTAATTTATTTTAATATTTTAATATTATTTTGTATTTATTTTAATATTTATTAATTTATTTTAATATTTTAATATTATTTTGTATTTATTTTAATATTTATTAATTTATTTTAATATTTTAATATTATTTTGTATTTATTTTAATATTTATTAATTTATTTTAATATTTTAATATTTTAATATTGCAATGTTTCAAGTATATTTCAATGTAAGCCCAGGCAAAACAGATTGATAAGTTCATTACTTAGTAATTTCTATCCAGTGATATCATACCGACGAGTTTTGGTCACTCGTTATGGTCCGCGAACCAGCTGGCAGCGCAAGTGGTTAAAAGACCGTGCGCAAGAACATATTAATATAATTTTAACTGCAATCCAAAAGACTCCTCCAAAAAACTGAAGATCTTTCAACGTTTCGAAGAAATTGAAACGAGAGAGAAGAAGAAAAAAAAAAAAACATCTCTGACATAAAAGTGACGCAGTTAAAGTGACATATTAAAGAACATTCTCTTAAATCTCTCGCGCGAAAGTTCCCGAAGACTCTCCTTCGCGTTGCGGTCGTAAATTATATGAACTGCAGACTGTAAAATAGAGAGATCAGAAACGTCCGTACGATTAATCGATCGGTTTTCTCTCGGCTCGGAACGTTCCTCTAGGCGATCGGCCGACCTTTGATTGCTGGCGAAAGGGGGAGACGAAAGAATTCAACCCCCTCGGCCCGGCACACTTCCCCGCCGCGAAAAATCCCTGTGTTGTTGCTCGACAGTCCATTTATAAGCCGTTAATCAATCGACGCCGGAGGAAATATTCGGGCGAGCGAGCGATATCGGTATCGCGAGCAACGATTACCGACTACAATGATTCGCATTCATTGGAGAATCGAACGACTTCTTTGCCGTAATATTCGACGATCGATAAACGTGGAAAATAATTTCTAAGAGACACGGCTGTGTTTTCTGCTCGTTTTAATAGATTTCCAATAGAATTGTTAAGCGAATCGTGATTACCGGTCACGTGTCTGCAGAATTTTTCGATAATCGAACGGTGATCGGTTGCGTTTGTCAGCTTTTAAAGCGCAAAATTGTAGAAATGTGTCTTTGGGCGTGTTCAATCGGTCACGAATACCAAAGAAAAAAATATAATAAATATTAACTCTTGTGTCATTTGACCCCTTTCGAAACATGATAATTTGGATATAATGTAATATTTTTAACTCTTGATAATTTCGTTCGTATAAAAACAGAAATCAATATTTCTTTACATTATTTTTCATAATATAAATCAACATTATTTTAATGAATCGTAACATTTCTCAATGTGATGGTCATCACATTCTGATCCAATCAATATGTGATCCTGTATCTGCGGAATCTAATATTTCTTCTCTTCAAAATTCATAGAAAAACAGAAATCAATATTTGTTTCTCAAAATACCGGTCACGATCAATCGTATAGAAAATTTTTTGTCCCAAATTGCAACAGTTTCATCAGTTTCAAGTATATTTGAATGTAACCCAGGCAAAACAAATGATAAGTTTATTACTTTTCAATAATTTCTATCCAGTGATATCATACCAACGAGATCAAAAGAAGAAGAAAGCGACGAATTATTGTATATACGATTCGGTCACTCGTTATGGTCCGCGAACCAGTTTAAATTTTAGGATTATTATTATTAATTAGTATAAATTATGAATTTGGTCATCAAAAAATAAAATTAATTTAAATTTAATATTTTAAAATGATTGAATTGATTTATATAATTTATTTAATAATAATGATTTTATTTATTTGATTTTATTATTTTAAGAAATTTAATTTATTTAATTATAATTTTTTTTTTCAATTTTAATATATAAACTGAAGAATAATTTTTTTTAATTTCAGTTTAAATTATTATTCTAATGGATTAATTATTATAATTATATTTATACTAATATTTATATTATATTTATAATAATTTTAATTTCTTAGAATTATTATTATAAATTTAAGTTTTACTAATTTAAAAAAATCATTGTCTATCATTAAATTTGTTATCGATATTATTAATATATATATAATTTTTTTTTCAATAAATTTAATATTATTTTATTTGATATTCGAGTCAAGTTTATCATTAATTTTTTTACATAATTATAAAATGAGGATACGGTGAATTTCGAAGCCGGCGCAAGGGGTCAATGAGTCCTTTAACTCCCGGTTAAGAGTGGGAAACGATCTTCAACGTCAAAGATCCTCCGTAAACAACCCAGTTCGATTGCTTAGAAACCTCGTCCGGCGGCGAGCGGCGCGCAATTCGAAAAATCGATTGGATCTCGCAGACACGTTGACCCAGAAACCACCGGTCGGTCGAGCCACCGCGTAGCTGGATCCTCGAGTTTTAAGCGGGCGAACCGGCGCCGCAACTATTCCAGCTCCGGTGTATCCGAGCGATATACCCTAGACGTGCGCGCACCATGAAGGAGAGACCGGTCGTTACGCTATGCAATACCGTTGTGGCCGATGTGGTGCTCGTGATAATGGATCAGATGGTCGCAGAGCGGATGCTGGCTGGGATTGTACTCCGGGCGAAGTTCCGGCGGGCAGTCAGGTCCCTGTCTGGCGTTTCTCGCCGCGGCCACGATGCGCTCCCGAACCTCCTCCGGCCCCTTTATTTGCTCCACTGTTAACAATCCGAAAAGGGAGCGCAAGCTGGTGAAACAGCTTTATTTCGCAGTTAATTGTTATTGGCGGGTCAAATGACCGTTCAGGGTAATTGCACCGGCCACGTGATTTCCTAGGCTGGCGCGTAACAGAGGGAATTTTCGGTGCGGTTGCTCCGAGCTGGAAATGTTTGGACAGAAATGTTTTGGAGTTTGAAGATTTAGAGTAATTGGCACAACGGGTATGGAAGTGGATTCCGCGTACAGGAACAAGTCGAAAGAGAAAGATATAATATTTGAGATAATATCTGGACAAGCACGAACGTACACACGTGTTTCTACAAAATCTTGTAGATAAATCGAAATATTTACACCACACATGTAATAATTGTATAATGCTCTTTTTAGAAACTGTAGAAATAGAAATATAAAATAGAAATATAAAATAGAAATGCAATTAACAAGTGTAGTTGGTTTGCTTAGTATTTCGCGTATTATACTCACGAATGAAATCAGCAGGGTTGTAATGTGGGAGTAGCGTGAGTCCGATCGTAGAGAAAAACCTGCCGATGTTCGCTGTGGGGCCGTAATACGCGACCTGGCCGCGGCTCAACAGCAGGATCTTGCTGAAACTGTGGAACATCCTCGAACTGGGCTGATGCACTGTTACCACGATGCTCTTGCCTTCTTGTTCGGCGTATTTCTTCAATCGTGAGATCAGCGCCTGTGCCGAATGCGAGTCCAACCCGCTCGTTGGTTCCTGGAACCAAATACATCGTTGCGTGAATTAATTATTTTACTTCGAGCACCTGTTCGAGGAACGATCGGCAGAATCTTCACTTTCTACGATATTCATATAAATTTTCGAATTCGTTTTTGATGGTCTCGCCTTTGAAACTAATTGTCAGAAACAGTTCTGAGAATACGATAATTGTAATCGTGAGATTTCTACGAAGTTCTTTTGTAGATTCTTTTATAGAATATATTCAGGAAGCTTCAAAAAAATCGAAAACCATTCGATCAGCCAGAGATTGAATTCTAAGTAGAATAAAATAAAATTCACTTCCATTTAAATAAATGCTTTTGCTCTGCGACAAGATGAATAAACCGTAACTAAATTACAATCGAAGGAAGTTTCAAGAAATTTAAAAAAAGAAAGAAAAAATTAGGCTTCCAAAGAAAAATGACTAAGATGAATAAACTAATCTCTAATCAAATTAACCAAGGGGATCGCGAGAAATGTATTAAAAGATCAGCTTCCCAAGAGAATAACGCGATAAAAGTAAATAACAATGTTATCCCAAGGGAAGCAACGAGAAAGTGGAAAAATTCCAAGGGAGAGGCCCTCATAAGAGAGTTTCCTCATTTCGCCGTGTGTAATCAGGATGCTTTAAGGAGCTTACGTCGAGCAACATGAGCGAGGGATTGGTGAGGAGCTCGCAGGCTATGCTCGTCCTCTTCTTCTCGCCGCCGGACAGTCCTCGTTTCGTGTAATCCCCGATAACTGAAAGAAACAGAAAAGCGAAAAGCAAACATTAGGGACGAACCTTCTGGCTCGCTATTATCTCGCTGTTGGCGATTAATTAACACTAATCGGGTCCAAAGTGGACACCTTAATTCGCAAGACGCGGCGATGACGACACTTTGGTTAAAAATACGTAGCTCGGAATAATAATTGGGATAATTATGGAAGCTGCGGTCTTTCCTTACTTCAGTGTACTTACAGAGTGTCTTCAAACTTTTACCACACCGATCGATCGATTCTGCTTTCTGACGATTTCTCGAAAACGTCGGGCTGGATGATGGGGGTGGAATCATTTGAGGGCAGAAGGAGAATAATTACAGAAAGATATTTAAATACGTGCTAGATTAACCATCGGTAGAATAATTTAACTTAGAGAGCTGAAATAATCGAGAAAATAAATCTAATAATAAGAGATATCAAATTGTCGTGTTCTATTGTCATGTAATAAAATGGAATACTAGAATGAAAAGTATATTTTAATAAAATTGTCACATACCGCGATATAACTGGGAGAATTAAGCCGTTCAACGAAAGAAAATAGAATATAAGAATTTCAATTGTGATATACTCGAATGATTTAGAAAACTAAAATTAAATTCACTTAAATGAGAAATCTAATAGAATAAAGTAGAATATATAATCAAAATTGAACACATTTACGATTAGTAAATAATAAAGTAAAAATTAGTAAAAATAATAATAAACTAAAATTAGTAAAAAATAAAGTTACTTCAGGAACAATCAGGAATTAATTCTCTCCCAAATTCGTTCGGAATTAATGAAAAACAATCGACAATTAAATTTCTCTGCGAAGGACACTTCCGTTGTCACGACTGTCATCGTTTGTCTTGTCATTTGTCTCGTCGTAAAAATAATCGAAACTCGATGTGAACGTAAATTCCGGATCAACGGCCAGAAAAGAAATGAAATTTCTCGTCCCATCGACTTCCTCGATTGAAATATAAAATCATTTTGTCCGGGTCGTTGAAAACAAGTCGAAATTCGATTACGAACGCGACAGGCATGCAGCGTTCCAATCGAAGAGAAAACAAACAAACAGGAAAAAAAATGTTTCCGGTTTTTGGGGAAAATAAAAAAAATATTATCCTTGTTATCTGGTTCGTTTCTCCGTCAACTCGATGTTTTAGAATGAGAGAATTCTTCTTTTTAATTGGTTCTTAATCTTTTGGCTCGATTTTTCTTTTTGTTCAGAGCTTCATATATTTCTCTTTAATATCGATTGTATATACCTTTATATTTTAGATTCATATCTGACTTTAGCAATAGTTCTTTCTTTTTACTGCGGTAGTCTGCTTTTTAATGAAAAATTGTTGACAAAATAAGCTGCAAAATTTTCAAAAATTTTCAAGAATTTTTTTTTAACAGCTTGCTACAAGCTTTCTTAAAGCAACTGTTTATGGATATTTCATAATGAACAAAACACTTGATCTCATCGAATGAAACCTTCTTTTACATTAATTCTTCACATAAATATATCTTGCTCCATCGATGTAATATTCTACAACGATATAATATCTAGAACGTATGCACAACGTTATTCTCCAAACCATCGACCATTCGCAACGCCACTAAATTCACCAAATAAAATCAAATTGGGTCAGCCGTACGGTTCGAGCTTCTCCAGTTAAAGAAGTTAAAAAGAAAAAAAAAAAAAAAAGGAGAAAAAAGAACTTTCATCGAAACGGGACTTTAAGTAAATCTCGGACGACGGATCAAAGCGTTTCGATAGATCGGTATAAACGATCGGAGCTAGCAAGGAACGATGGTGATCCAGCGAGTCGTAACGCAGCCTCGATAACAAACGATCTCGCTAGGTTTTACGAGGAGCAACGTTGAATGAGTTACGATCGCGGAAATCGTCGATCAAAATCGAACAAACGACGATGGAGGACGATGGCGAGCAACCACGTGGCGTTGAACCACGGCCTGCTGATGGCCTGTTTCTTACCGGTGGAAGTCGTAAATCGTCACCAGCTTCTCGTTCGCCGTCCATAAACAAATTATGGCGGATTTACACGGCCGCGACGCGAGAGATCGTCCCAGTTTCGCGATCTCGCGCAGACGCTTTGATCCCCCGTGGAAAACGAATGTGAGAAATCGTCAGAGATCGGCGTGTCTACGCGCTACGTGGGCATCTGAGTTTATGGAGATATATCCGGGCATTTATCGTGGAGCAATTGTTAGGTTATTTATTATACGTATTTCAATACGAAAGATATATATTGCACTTACGTAGGTTCACGAAAGTATTCGAACACTTATTATCGTGATTATAAATTTAAAAATGTATGAAATTTTATTATACATCATACGTATTTCAATACGAATGATATATATCGCACTTACGTAGGTTCATGAAAGTATTCGAACACTCATTATCGTGATTATAAATTTAAAAATGTATGAAATTTTATCATACATCATACGTATTTCAATACGAATGATATATATTGCACTTACGTAGGTTCATGAAAGTATTCGAACACTTATCATCGTGATTATAAATTTAAAAATGTATGAAATTTTATCATACATCGTACGTATTTCAATACGAAAGATATATATTGCACTTACGTAGGTTCATGAAAGTATTCGAACACTTATTATCGTGATTATAAATTTAAAAATATATGAAATTTTATGATAATAATGATACACAGAATGTATTCGTAAAATTCGCGTCAGTGTTTCGCGAAGTTTCGAAGTATTTCAAAACAACACGTATATACAAGCATGAAAGTTTCTTTTATAAATATTTACTGCAGACAGAACTTTTATTTGTATCGTGTAGAATGTACAAAATAGATAGTCACGCAGGCTCAAAGTGTTCGAACATTGACAAAGTCTGAAACTAATCCGAAGGTGTATGAATATATTTACAAATGAAGCAAATTGCGTGAAACTTCGATATCGATATATCCTTTGTGAAAGCACGTATCTTACCAATTACCTTCAAACGTTCACGTAAAAAAAAAAAAAAAAAAGAAAGAAAGAAAGAAAAAAGAAAAATGCAACGAGGTGAGACACGATGGCGTGCAAAAGCAGGCCGTCAGCGCGCAGGGGCTTGGCACGATCCGTCGATCGCGTCCGATCTATACTCACTGGTGTCTTGGCAGGCGGCGAGGTCGAGTACCTCGATGATATGATCCACGCACTGCATCTTCTGCGAGTGCGAGAACGTGTCCGGAAGCCTGAGCCTCGCCTGGTACTGTAACACACGAACAGCAAGAACCGCGTCAGATCAAATCAGATCAGATCAGATCGGAAAGGAAAGGAGAGACGAAGATAAAGGTAAAACGAGAGAAAAAGAAGAGAAAGGTTTACGATAAAATTGGCGAAAGCGAGCGGAGAGCACGAGGTGGACGATACGAGGGAAGATGGGCGCATCGTGATGGACTTTACTGTGATTTTCACGCCTTAACCCCCTTTGCTACTGGTCCGCGGACCATAACGAGTGACCGAACCGTACGCAATAACTCGTCGCGTTATTCTTCTTCTTTTGAACGCGTCGGTATGAATGTCACTGGATCGAAAATTATTAAGGAGGTTAATAAACTAATCATTCGTCTTGCCTGGGGCTTATTTTACATTTAAATATACTTAGAAAATGTGGGCAATTTAATTTACAAAAAAATATTCTCGACGCGCGTGGCACGTCATTCCAGCGCAAGAAGGTTGAACAGCAACGTAAGCAAACGTGGACGTGCATTTCCGTTTCGTAACATCCAGGCCACTTTGCGTCTATTATTATCATCTGACACGTACCCCCGGGGATGCACCGGTCCGCTCGTAATCGCGATCGTTAAATCAATTACGATAACGCGCCGCAGCAGCCGGTACGTTTCTTGCGAAACGATCCAGCCCGATTGTCGTTTCCCGGTCTTCGTTGCTTCTTTTCCCGCCGCTGGTAGTTTTCCAGCAGAATGATGCTCCCGTAGGTTGTTCTTGATTGATTCGAAGCGATTCTTTTGGATTATTTGCATGTTCTTTGAACGTTCTCGAATTTTTAACTCAATGGTTCTGTAATAATCTTTGACGGTTCTTTGTTATTTGAATTTGTTATTTAAGTTTCTTTATTATTGAATTTTCTCAAGATTGTTGAGTGAATCTTTTTAATAATTCGAAGGTCCTTTGAATTAGTTTTGAGCTTAAGAAGAGATTGAGAGAATTTCAGTGATTTGAAGACGATTATTTAGTTGCTTTGAATTCTTTTTTGGGAAATTGTCGGGTTTCTCGTAGGAGAATCATTCTTTCAAAAGAATAATTTTTTTTCCGATAATTCCTTTCTAATTTTCAACTTTCGTTTTTTTTTCTTCCTATAAATTATTAAATTCGGATATACAGAAAATTTTCACGATATACAGACAATATTCCAACTCTCTGAACGAAGGAGAAACTTCCATGGATTCAATTTATCCTTATCAGTTATTTTAATACCTTTAGAAACGAGAGGCCGATTATCAAAATAATTTTCAAATATTTAACGAACGACCTCTCAAATCTGGAAAGTGGAAATTTCAGGAAATTACGAAATGCACGCGAAAAAAGAAAGAGAAGAACGGCGTTGAAGTGATTCTTAGTAAAAGTTCCAAGTAAAACATACGAATGAAACAAATTAAAGATCGAAAGTACTGGCCGATTGAAGAACGTACGAATTATGTAACATAACGAAGCAACAGCGAATCTTGTAACAAAGAAAGGCGACGTGTCACGAGCTACGTCTTCGTCCGATAACCCGTCGAAGAACGAGTCACCATCGGTGATAGGCGACTCTGCACGTAGTGCATGGACTTTCCTTCGTCTCGAAACGCGTTCGACAATTCGGGGCCACGCGGAGCGAAGCGTACTCGGAAGAAAAAAAGCACAGCGTCGCCTGTGGAATTCGTATTGTGAGCGTCAGTTGAAATTTTTCTGCTCTGGAACACGAGAAATTGGCCGACCGAAAAGAGAATGAATTCCAACGCGATTTTTTTTTTTATTTGTTTAGACGGTCGAGTCGAACGTTATTGGATTCTTTCATTAAAGCTTACCTTTCACTCTTGAACTTTGTTTCTTTTTTATATATTTTTTATATATATTTTTTTTTATATTTTATATTTTAAGAGACGCGTGTATTTCATCTTCTGAAAGTTCGGTCAAATTTCAAGTTTGGCTAGAAATTAACCAAATTGATTCATTACTTTTCAAAGTTTCTACGAACAATTTAATTACTAATGATGAAACCTCGAATGTTGATAGTAGCAGGATTTTAGAATTTCTCAATTTTTAGACCGTGTCTCAAGTATCAATCTCTAAAGATAAATCAGTATTAAAGGATTTCGTGTTTTTCTCCAGTTTTTATTCCCCCGAATTTTGGTTATATAGACTAGGACGATGATTCGATCGAAATTGCTCGATAATACCAACTGACGTACTGTAAAATTTAATTTCTATTTTTGCTAATCGGTTGCGATAGGAACGCGATTCGTAAAGAGCCAAAAGGTGAGCTTATGAACAAGTTTCGATCTGAAGTTGAGGTCTAACGGTGAATAGAATCGTTCCTTGGCCCTGCTGGCTCACATCTCTCCTCGAATAAATGACTTTCAGACGCATCGGTAGCGATTTTGAAAATTCTATTGCGTGCCTGATTAATAGCTCCGCTTAATCATTCGACGAAAGTATGCGCGGCTACATAAAACGGCCGATAATGGCTTTCGACGCGGTTGGTTAACTTAAATCAATGTAAAGCAGCCAATTAAACGGCCCATTGTTTCCTAGCCGGCTAGTTGAAATTCCGCTTGAACGAAACCATTAAACCCGCTTAATGAAAGGAAATTCGATTCTCGTCGATTTTGTTGATCGGCGATTTCTCACGCGCCGAAAATTTAGACGAGCGTCGTTGAAAACTTTCGGTCACTTTTTGACCACTTTTCACCGTTCTCGCCGACTACGTGAAAAGTTCGATTGATCCTTTGTTTCACGATTTTCTTTTCGAACATTCTAGTCAATTGTTGAACCGCCAATAATTTGTGCTCAGTAATCTATAACTTAGAAACGTGTTTGGTATTACACTTGAATTGACAAATCAGGAATATTAAATTTAAAAAAAAGAAAAATCGTATTTAGTGGGCGAGCGAAAGTAGGATCTTAGTAAATATTTTTAAACACTTGTTAAACACTTTGAATGTTTTATATATATATATATGTCTAAAAATATATAAATATATATAAGTATCTAAAAAATATATATATATAAATGTCTAAAAATATATATATACATAAATATAAATATAAGTATCTAAAAATATATATATATAAGTAAAAAAAATATATATATAAATATATATAAGTATCTAAAAATATATATATATAAGTAAAAAATATAAATATAAATATAAATATAAATATATATAAGTATCTAAAAATATATATATATAAGTAAAAAATATAAATATAAATATAAATATAAATATATATAAGTATCTAAAAATATATATATATAAGTAAAAAATATAAATATAAATATAAATATAAATATATATAANATAAATATAAATATATAAAATAATATAAATATAAATATATAAAATAATATAAATATAAATATATAAAATAATATAAATATAAATATATAAAATAATATAAATATAAATATATAAAATAATATAAATATAAATATATAAAATAATATAAATATAAATATATAAAATAATATAAATATAAATATATAAAATAATATAAATATATATATATTTAACATTTGAAGTGTTTGACGCGTTGAAAATATTTAGTGAGATCCTACTTTCGTTGAAATGTGAAAATTCGCGGTCTTCGAACCGTGTGTACGCAGCTTAAAGGTGGACGCCGGCTCGGTCGACACACCCTGCCTTGGCCGCGGCGTGCAACGCGGACGGACGTGCCATTTTCTCGACGCGATGGCCGTCCGGGAGTCCGTTACACAAGAGGATCCGTTATGCGGAGAGAGAAAGTGGCGGCCGACGATATTTCGCTGCGGGTATAGCGGTCGTCTCTCGGCCAGCAGGAAACTGGACTGCTCCAGAACGGAGCACGGCCGTGAACGTCATCTCCGCTGGGCTGGATTCCACGAAATGACGACGACGACAACGACAATGACGACGGCGACGACGACGGCCATCGCGTTCCACGCGGAGAAAAGCGAAAGTGAGAAACGATGGAATCGCTTCTCGATCAATCTACATCGATATATCTGTTCATCGATTTTTCACGAATATTCGGGGAAAGGTTCGCGACGTTTCGAGTGGAAGATGATGGATACAAGGGTGGAGATTTCTGTTCGTTTATCCTGAATATTCGAGAAAAGACTAGAGACGAGAAGGCAAATATAGTGGAAGTAAGAGAACCACCATCACGGCGAAGAATGTTGGAAGATTACAGTTCTTTTAGGATTATTTAGCATTATTGAGGTATGGGAGAAAGATTCTTGGTCCGCGGAATTCACTATATTATTATTAGGTAGTGTTTTAATTTCAAGAAAAGAAAAAGACTATCCTTGTGAATTTTATGCGATACCCTCGTTTCTTAAAGCTATAGAAGACGCTAAAGAAAACAATTGAGTTATTTAACAAATTTTTTTCAATTAATCTGTCGGGAAAGGATGAAGTTGAAGGTAATCCTTCCATGAAACCAGAATATATAAAATATATGTCAACGATTGATAGAAACTCACAAACGCACACCTCTGCAATTTTCTAATTCTTCAATTATTCGAAAACCGACCAGAGTCTCTGCGTCTCTGGAAAGTCGGGGTAAAAGCGCGTCCACAAGCGAAGGAAAAGAAGAAGAGGATGAAGAAGAAATACGAGCCCGCGAAAGAAAAAAGAAACGTGACGTGTGACAAAGTAACAGAATAACGTAAATTGGCAGAAAAAGAGAGACGGAACAGCGATTATGCACGTAGGGAGACGGCGCCGAATGTTTTTGAAACACGTAAGACACGCGCTCGACGGTTCACTGACCGAGTTATGACGTCACCATAATTCTCTCTCTCTCTCTCTCTCTCTCTCTCGTTTTATCTTTTCCTTTTTCTCTTGCTACCACCCTCTATTCGTCACGGGGCAACTCCTGTCCCCCTTTTGCCATGATCGCGAGGCCAACGTCCCGTTCGGATCGGTTCGTTTAATGTATCACGCACACGTGTCTCGCGAGTGCTTGCATACGTGCCGCATATACTTCCAACCGTGGACGTATCTTCGACACGTATGACGAATTTCTCGTTTCTCGTTTCTCGTTTCTGCGCCTGGAGAAACTTTATTTTTCTGTCGTGTTGAAGCCACGTGTCCGTGTAAGTTGATCGTGCGATTCAGTATTAAATTGAATGGCGTTCTGTGACGTCGGGGTCGAGAGTTTCTTCTTGTTCCAGATTCAGTTATTTCAGCGTTGTATTCCTGTTTTGCCATGGTTTTTGATCTTCGAATTGGAATAGATGCGACTGAATCAATCGCTGTGCGATATTTTAACACCTTGCGCTGGCAGCTGGTTCGCGGACCATAACGAGTGACCGAACCGTACATACAATAATTCGTCGCATTCTTTTTCCTTTGAACGCGCCGGTATGATGCCACTTAGGATAGAAATTATTGAGAAGTAATAAATTTATTATTCGTTTTCCCTGGGTTATGCTTGAATATATACTTTAAAACTGAGGAAATGTTGCAATTTTGGGACAAAAGAATTCTCTTTCTGGGACAGAAAATATTGGTCAACAGTGATGTCGAAGAATTCTTAAAAAAAATGGAATGACGGAACATCTTTTCGATCGTTTTGGAAACCAGAGAATGATCTAGAAAAAAAATTGCAACGAGACACAAAGTTAACAATTCTTCTCGTAATGTGATATAACATAAAAATGAAACGCTAATTGACTTGCCCAACATAATGTTCTTTTAAAATCTCCCTTATTCATCCTGATACTTACTCTGCCATCATTTCACCCTTTTCTAAACACTAGAATCACCAGAAAGTGTCCAACTCACAGGAAATCAACCTCAAAGCGTCGTGATTGTTCAAAAAAATCCGGCGTACAGTCTATGTTTGGATGTTTTCCAAAAATTCATAGAAATATTCGAAATTTCAGCAATCAGTATTTCTTTCTTTCCAACAGAAAGTATTTTCGTTCAAATCTTCCGTGTTCCTCATTGTATCGTCTCGTTCTAATTTCTCTCGTGCAAGTTCCTCCCCCCCTCCCGCCCCCCCCTTCCGAGAACGATATACATATTAACAAACACGAAACGCGATAAATCAAGTCAATCGGCTAATGGACGATCGCGAGACACCCGCGAGCGTGTTTAAAATCGACGAAAATGTAACGGCTGGTTGGCTGGTGGCCGGCATTCCGCGCGAGGTGTTCCTCCTAATTTCCCTGTCGCGAACCTTCATAAATTTCGCGCGGAACTTGGCACGCACGCGGCGGCCGATTTTCCTGGAAAACGAGGAAACGCCGGAGAGAATCGGCCGCTTCCTATTTCGCACAGCGAAGAGTCGGCCGGGCCCTCTCATCTTCTCTAGCCTGTCTGACTATGTCCTCCTGTTTCTACTTGCGCTCCTCTGTCTCCGTAAATACGAACGATTTACGAGTTTCGCCGGCGTCCATGCGTTTATTCTACAGATTCTCTCACGTGGTTCGCTGTTACTTCATCTAGTTGAACTTTTCTTTATTTTTAAAGATATATTAATACACCTTTTTCGGTTATGTACATAAGATTAATGTACGAAGATTAATCGTTCATTTTTTTTTCTTTTTTTTTTCTTTTTTTTTTTGGCTATTTGGGTATTTGTAGCGTTATATTTACTTCGTTTGTCTGATATTTATCGCTCATTTCTATTTATATACATTTCGCCCGGAATCTAGAGGTATTGCCCTTTTAAATCATCGACTTTCATTTTAACATAGATCTAAATAATAATGGTAATATTGAGTAAATTAATATTCATAATATAATTTAAAATATAAAATTTAGAATTAAAAATCGTATGTAACTTTTTGAAATTTAATTCTATCAACAAATGAATAATAAAATATAAAATGAATATAGAATAGGAAATAATAGAAATTGTTTTATATTTAATAAATATATAAATGATGTAGAACATGATTCATTCATTCATTTTTTTTTAATGAAAAATTAATTGACATGAAAATTCTATTTAAAACTAATAGAATTATTGTATCAAATCAAATCATTCGAAAAGGAAAAATTGAAAAGAAGAGTGCGAATGTAATTTAGGAAACGAAATCAAATTGATTGGGGAAATTTATCGGAATTATTTCTCGTTAATATAATTAACAAAAAGTGAGTTTCTTTTCAATCGCTACTATTTCATCCTAAAGAGAGATAAGACTCGACGCTAATTTAGCCAATTCACTTTACTATTAAGCAATATTATATATAACGTAGATTCGATGAACGAAATTTATTTGAACGAATCTGAATAAATTTCTCGTTGAAACAAAACAAGATAGAATCGAACGTCACTGGGATTTGTCGAATGAATGTTTCTTTTTTATTCATTATTTTGTAACGCGATCGCGACTGAAAAACGAAAAACTTATGGTTAGGCACAGGCGTACGTAGATGCAAATTTGATGGGTTTTATGATAGAAATTACGGTTTAATGGAAAACTCGTTTTATCGTTCGAGCGGAGTGATCGTTGGAATTTATCAGTCCGCTGCGTTATTATATGCCGGGGAAAATATTTAGACTTTTGCCATTTGATAAGATCGGTCTTATGGAAATTTGCTCGCTTTCACGCGAAGAGATTTCGCTACGAATATCGTAGTTCTTCTTTTTTTTTTTTTCGATTTGTTTGCTATTTCTCGCGATGACAGCAACAGCATTCAATTTGATAGTCATCTTTATACTTTGTACCTTCCATGAGAAACAATCGAAAACACGAGACCACTGTTTCTGGATTTTTTCTCTTTTTTATTAAAATATGAATTTTTTGAATGCAATAATTTCCGATCGATTAAATCTATAAATTTATTGATATGAAACGATAGCGCTGTAATAGTTGTAATAATATTAAATTGTTAAATTAATATTTCTAGAATGCCGCAATAAATTATTAAAAAAAAAAAAAAATCGATGTATTTTCTGAGAAACAGTTTTAGGCGAGATTACTGTCGCAATGATAGTTTCTGATCGATCGAGCCAATAAACTCGATCTTGGCAAATTCGACTCTTGGCAAATTCGTGTCACGAACAAATGTAAATTGAAACGGTAGTTTCCACGCGAGGTATAATTTCTTCGAAAGAAAAGAAGAAAAAGAAAGAAAAAGAGGAGACTTACCTCGAGAGTCTGTCGTAACGTGAGATCGGGAAAGAAAACGTCCTGCTGTTGCACGTAGCAGATTCTTCTGCGCCATCTTTTTGTCAGCCTTTCACGATTCAGCCAGATTTCACCCCCGTCCAAGCCCACGCGGCCTGACAGGCAATTCAATAACGTCGTTTTGCCGCAACCTGTTCCAGACAATCAGATATATATCGTCAGACATCACTATCAAAAGTAACAAATAATTAAATAGCAAAACTGGCAGACGAATTTCCTCCTTCATTTTCAAAAAATTTCCATACGAATCGTATATCTCCGTCAAAAGCAAAGATAATAATTCCTTTATCTTCTCTCTCCGACAAAGTTCCACGCAAAAATCGTCCTCATGTCCAGGCATTGAGAGAAAAAGAATAAATTTAAAGAAACCAATCGACCGATTCACCGAAGAACAAACGAACGTCTACCACGGGATAATTTCTTGCATGGCCAGGCAGCGTGTGCAACGTGGAAATACTAAAACGTAGACGTTCGTTCCAATTGGACGGCTTTGTCCATTAAGTGCTCGAGTCTCGAGCACGTGGTGATTTCTCTGATGATTTCTCCGGGGACGGTCGATTTTACTAGATAGGATCGTCGAGATATACAACGTCCGATATGGAAATACGCCTGGCGTGGACGATTTTAACGATAAACCGTGAAACGGATGATTTGTACTCGCGTGCCCCGTGCTCGCGGCTTGTTAGACGAATATCAAAGGGAGAACGACGAATCTCGGCGATAAATATCACGCCAGCGGAGATCGTTACCCTCGCGATCTTCGTCGTGATTAAACATGCAAGAATTCACACGCCTGTGAATAGATCAGACACATAGATCAGATCGTGATTTTCGAGTCATATTTCACGCTTCCGATTGATTTCGATTCGATTTTTCTTCGTTCAATTTCAAAACGTTGCCCACGCACCTCTGATGGATCGTTAGCACGAAAATTTTTCATATAATGTTTGAGTATCTGACACGCGAAACAATTTTACAAAGAAGAATTTTGTAAAAGTTGTATTTGGTAATTTCGTAAGATCAGTTGCAACTTTGCAGTTCAATTTTAAAACGTTGCCCACGCACCTCTGATGGATCGTTAGCACGAAAATTTTTCATATAATTTTTGAGTATCTGACACGCGAAACAATTTTACAAAGAAGTATTTCGTAAGTTGTATTTGGTAATTTCGTAAGATCAGTTGCAACTTTGCGCATCGCGAATTACAGATTGAACTGTGATAGTCGTAATTCTACATAATTTTACGAACGTCATTGAGAAACATTATCAAAGAGAATAATATTGTAGAATAATATGGAGAAATATTTGTTAAAGAGAAATTCTTACACTACGAAACGATTAATATCGCTGGTTGAAATCGATTTGCGTTTACCTGAAGGGCCCATGACGGCCAAGAGTTCGCCAGGTTTAACAACGCCCGAGACATCTCGGAGGAGGGCTCGTTTCTCCTTGACCACCTGCAACCCCCGGAAGATTAGCTGCACCGGACGAGAATCCAGCGGGTACACCAACTGCAACGCTGAGCTTTCCACTCTGGAACAAGTGGAACAATTTGATTACAATTACAAATTGCGTATGCAAAACAACTAGAAAAGAAGTCGAGATAGTTGTCTCACAATCGTTTCGACTTTGCAGCTATCGATTAGAGACGATTAGAGCATAAAATTTTCATCGTTAAACGCTTGAAATTCAAAGCGTAGAAGAAACTATATAATAACAGTGGAGTGTACATAAGCTTCTGTTCATATATTTTATACGAAAAATTATTTAAAAATCTTTAAACATACACGTACGCAAAATGTCAAAACAAATGAAAACATTTCATATAAATAATATTAAATATTAAATATATATTATCAGTAATATTGAATATAAATCGGTCGTTTATGCGAGCATATAACAGTCTGCCGAGTGAGAATTCCCAAGAAAAATTCCGCGAGAGAAAGGAGAATTCGAAGGCAAGAATCGTTCGTTCAGCGAGATGCAATCGGTAAAAGAAAGAATCTCGAAAGACATTTAACGAACTCCAGCTGGCGTTTGACGAACACGGTATACTTCGTAATAACAATGACGTGCCATTGGAGCTATTCCGCGACAGCAATTAAAGGCCGACACGCGTTACGCCACGAATCAGACCGCGTCGAACAAGATCTGGCTCGCTTTCAAATGAAATTTCCTAGCGGCTCGTTCCTTGTTTCTCCGTCTCATCGAAATAACCTCCTTCCTCCTATCTGCTTCCCCATCGTTCGCGATAATTCAGCCGTGCAGACTGTAATTACGTTACGCAATCTAAAGTAACGAATGAAAATTGCGAGAGGAGGGGGGGGGGGGAAGAGAGGAGGCATTCGAAGTTGCAGAAACGCGCAGAATGCACGCAGTCGCGTAGAAGAGAAACGCGTAAGAATGTCGGAAATGTTGTGACGTTTAGGCAATTTTTCAAATGTTAAAACGAACAAAGTTTCCAGTTTTTCATCGGTAAATAATAGTAATGACGATACTGAATAACAACGTATAATCGATTGTACTCGTCTTGATTGATTTAATAAATTTTCACCGGGAGAGTTCCACTTAACAAAATTATTCAGAGAGGAGAGACAAAAGGGAATTTTTACGCGAAAATTCGGTGAAAATTCCGTTCGTTTCGTTCGGCGGCGATTTCAACGAGGGCAAAAACGAGGATCGTCCAGTTGCGTGGCCGGCAAAATGTTCGTTTCGTAACGTGTCACGATCGTTCGTCGAGAAGAGAAAGGCAAGAAACAGAGGCCTTAGACACGTCGAACAGATGTGCCTCTGTAGATTCCTCGGTGAAAAACATTTTCGACTGCGAAACTGATTAATCTGTTAGCCATTCGTAACGTCATATGGCTTAGAAGAAATTACATGCAGATGTATCTCGAACAAAGTGGAATTATTCTACTGTATATAGTGTGGGAATCCCGGCTTGAGATCCCAATTTCTAGGAATTTTGTTAAAGGATAGTTGTTTGTTTTACGTTAAATAAAAGAAAATTGGCTTAACAATGATTATAAAGTGACGTTTAACACTATTTCCTTAATTACTAAACTCGTTAGACTTGCGACTGACAATTCACTCTCTTCTCTCATTCGCGTAACTCTCAGCTCACTCTCTTCTCTCATTCACCGCTCGATCACTCTGCTCTCTTTCGCTTCTCGACACTCACTGTCTTCTTCATCTGATCAAAAATTCGTCATTCATCGTCTATACGTACACACAAACGCATCCATACGTTAATGTGCCTTAAACGCTAGGCCTGAAGGACTCGCCAAAAACGATCCCAAGTCCCAGGTCTAACTTTCTCTACAGTTTATGGTACAACACTTGGGCCTTTTTCCAGAATTTGGGCCCATCCCACAATAGCAGAGAGATGGGAAAGAATTTTTTTAAAAAGTATAAAGAAGAAAAAAAGAAAACTATCAGCGGATTAGGTTAAGTTAACTGTAACAGTGCCAAGAGGGGGAGATTTACCATAAATCAACTCGATGTTGAGAAAATTCGTAATAAAGATACGAAGCTTTGTTAATCTGCAATGAAATTGTATTTCATCACGCTGAAATTACGTTTCCGAAACGTTTCTTCGTGTGAAATTGAGTTTGAGAAAGGTGACTTGATGGATCGTGAAAGTGTAAATTTAGCATTTCGGGGAAGATCAAGAACATCTTTCATTCGATCTGACTAGGTTTTTTCGTTCACAAGTTACTTTGAAAGATACTCGCGAAACTGCAAATCGAATCTGGGATACTGAGATACAACATTGAACGTGTAGCGTTTTCTCAGACAGAAAAGTTAGAAGAATTTACTCGCGTGGAGCCGATGCTATTGAATTGAAAAGGCCAAGTTAGTTTTGCAGTGCGTAAGACCGGACGTCCGTACTTATAGTTTTAGAAATTCGGCCACAATAGCATTTCTGCGTTGTAAACTCTTGACCTAAGGGCCACCCAGATCGACATCTAGAAAACACTTGGAGAAAGTAAGTGAGGTCCCCTGCTACACCGCCACAATTTAAGGAAATTGCAGCCCCACTCCTAGAAAAAATGCATAACGAACGCAAGGAGTAGGCGGCGAAATTTCGTGGCAACCTAATTGGTCAAAACTCAAAAACTGGGTTTAGCCAATTAAGGATGTCCGAGACGGGGGACCGAAGAAATTCCGCGATACGCCGCGAATCAAAGTGTTCACCGCGCGTACGAACGCCGCACGTATCTCTTGTAACATATAAAAGCAAATAAAAGTGTTAACACATCCCCAAAAACGAACAAATCTACGATATTTCGAAACGTCGTATCACGTAAATTTTAGTATCGAGTAAAATTTACTTTTGCTCGAGATGAATCTTTGACGTTACGCTCTATGCGTGAGAACAAGAATTTGCACAAACGTCAGCACTCCGACAATTATAAACAAGAAGAAAGAAAAATCCATGACAAATTCTAGGAACCTACGTCTGCAATTACTCATCCTGTTATATAACGCAATCACTCCGCTCACACCATCTCCGCTCGCACCATTTATTAACGCAAAAATCAAGATCAATTTAACCAAATCCATCATCTTCCCTTTCGTTCGTTTTACACGATCGTTCGTACGCGCGCCTTTAAAGAAACGTCTGATTAAGAAACCAGCTGATTAACGAGCACTTTCAGTTCGACAGAACTAGACGTGTTAATTGACTCGCGTCGAAAGAGAGAGAGAATACGCTATGATAAATGACGTTGGATCAGCGAGAGATGATTCGATAATTGTCCACCATTGGCGACCGGTATTCGGAATTATTTCGCGTTGATTTCAATTACTCGGCAGAGGAGCCCGATTCGAACAACATAACGATGCGATCGAATTTCGAAATGCCACCTGACGAAAGTAGAGAATGATCAAAGAGAAACGATTCTCGTGCTTTTCTCTCGATTCGCACGTCGTGCAGGGAAATTACACGGTCTTCGTATTGCTCGCAATTACGTTGTCAAAAGGCATGGCGTAATAGATTGTATCGAGCGAAAATTCAATTTCAATTGGGTCGAGAGAAGAGAGAGAGAGAGAGAGAGAGAGAGAGAGAGAGAGAGAGAATGAATCGACGTTTCGTTTGATTAAAGTTCCTACCGGCTGACAAATTAATAAATTAATCCTCCAACGAGATTTCTTTCTCTATGATTTTTCTTTCTGCGACGTATCGAACGTTTCAGATTGAGTTCACAATTTCTGTGAATGGCATTTGTAAGTTTACATTCGTCATCGATATATTTTTAACAGCTACATTTATCAATCGGACATAGTTTCAATATTTAGGTTTAATAAATTTCTTAATTTGCATAAATCGAGCGCAGCGCGAATACGTATACGAGTTTATATTATACTGTAGATAAAATAATTTTCAACCAGTTTAGATATACATAAATCAATTCTCAATCTCAATTTAGATTATAAATTATATTCGTAAAAATTTGAATCTCGAATGGGAGCTTACAACTTATATTTTTAATCATTTTTATATGCCTTGATTAATTAGCACGATGCAATCTATAAGTGAATTCTTTCTAATTTCAATATTCGATTCAATCATTTTAATCAACACGAGGGGAATAACTTTAATCATCGAACGTATCGGAAAAAGCTAACGAACAGTAACCTCTGCAAAATAAAATTAACAAGTGAATTAGAAAATTTCCTTCAGGCTTTAATTAACGAAATTAGCGAGAACGATTGAAACTGTTTCACGATCGTGCTCGAACGCAATTTAATAAAAGCTTCTTTCATTAAAATTCTCCGAACAAGAGGGCAAAATCGAACTACCGTTTCAGGCGATCTCGATTGTTTTACGACGATTCATCTCGATGCGAAATTAGTTGAAAGTCGGATCGAAATTCCTCCCGGCGAGAGGGCAATCGAAACTTTCCTCGCGTCAATTTCGATTGCCTTTAAATCTTAAGTTTTTAACGAGGGGGTTGGGAATTCTTCGAACAACGTTTATAGTTAATAAGATAATTAATGAAATAGAAAGTAAGGATTGCTGGTGTCTGAAAAATGAAAATCGTAATAATTTTAAGTTCGTTTGGCGAACTGATTTTTTTTTTTAATAATTCTTAATCCTTTCGAATCTTTTAAGTAAATTTCTAATAAAAATCTTCTTGCGTAAAAATTTAAAAATTCTTCTAAAATATCTGCATCACTCTTAGATTAAAATCCTCGGACCGAAGGCTTAATTTTTGTCTGTGAAAGCATTTTCAGATCGAAGCTATCTTTACGTTCGGTTTGAAAAATTTCAAGCGGACCTTGTTCCTTGTGCTCGAAAATAATTTTCCGGACTTTCTGCAGTGAGAAATGTCCAAAATCAATTCTACTCGTCCCTCCAAGACAATTCTCTCGCGAATCTTTGTCCACTTTGGACACAAGCAACTCGAGAAATTCCAAGAAATTCATTTCCCTTGCAATTTCGCGACAAATTTTGCAGACGAAGCCGACAACTTTCAATTCTCCGCGTTTAAAGTATCGTCGGAAATTACACCGGTGGCTCTCGAC